GGGGAATTCAGGCTACCTACAGGCTTTGTTCTCTCTGAAGTTCCTGAACTAATAAGTTTTGAGCTCTTTTATATTCAAGAATACAAAGTAATTAGACATCCTGAAGCCTGCTAGATAATAATGCATGTTACCTGTGCTGGCCTGACTTTGTTGGATTTGTGCTTCACTGTCAAATCTATGAGCTGCAGAGGAAGGTCCTGCTCCTGAATGTGTGTGTCTGTGTAACGCCTTCAGTGTCATTTATTCCCGTGTTTTTACCTGTTCTTACCTCGTTACCCTTCGTGTTTCCATCTTTTAATTGCCTTTTGTCAAGTTTGTATTATTCGAGTCTTTCACTGACTTGAGGCCAAGGGCTGAATAGTCTCAAGTTTTCGTGAGCTGAAGGGAGCGGGGGGTGGTGAGCAAGTTACATCTGTCCCGGGTCTGGTTTGGTTTGTTGATTCCTCTCCAAAGGCCACAATTTTGCCAAGAGTGAAACAGTAAAAATCAGACCTTTCTGGTGTGCTGTTTGACAACACCATGCAGACAGCAGAGTTCTTTGGGAGGCTGCTCTGTGCCTCTCACTTCCTGCCCAAGTTGGATGGTAGTTTCTATAAAGGGTTGGTGTCATGTTCTTCCGTCATGGAGTCCTCTCCCCTGAGCGCATCTCACCCTCAGGGGTTGGGTCTGAGTGCATCATGGGTTCTTACTACACTTTCTCTCCTAAGAAGTTAAGAAACCAAGGCTTAAGAAAACTGTAAAAAAAAAAAAAGCTTGTGCATCTGTGTATCTGGTTTATGTACCGGCCTGGGAAAAGTGTTTATTTATGCAAGTTTCCTACAAAAGATTGCAGTGGAAAGGAGAAGGCTGAATACCAAGAAAAACCCACATGCTGAAGTAATTAAATGCAAGAATTGCAAAACCATTACTATGTTTCCTGTACATTCTTTGCGTGTGTTTTCTCTATGTGCCAGCAGTTCCCAAACCTGTTCACTGATTTTTCCAAAACTAAGAGCTATTGTGCTCATCTCTCAATGCAGCTGCTGCTGGTTCAGAAATAACTAGGATGCTGAGGATAGCCTGTTGCCTGTTTTCCTGAGCACAGGGAGGGCACCTGGGACTGGTTTTTCAAAGGGGGTGATTTGAAAGCTCAAAATACTGTGTGTGCTGAAAGATACAGCAGATGTAGTGCACCTGTGCACATGTTCTCCACAGACTCCACTAGGAAAGGCCTTCAGCTCCATAAGGTATGGATTAAAACATTTACTGGAGATACCAGACGGAAACAAGGAACAGCCTAGATCAGCTGCAGTGTCAGACAGATGTGGCACCCTGTGCAGACCCTGCCAGGAGTAAGTGGCATAGTGGGCTTCTACAGTCTTTGTAGGATTTTCCTAGAGTTAAGGAGTTATTCATCATTTCTACTGCCAAGGCAAAGGATGTTTACATAAAACATGCTGTTCCACTTCAGGATAAGGATGAGGACACGGCCGTGGGGTTGGCACATGGAGCTATGGACAGACTCCTTTGCTAAGTCTGTCTGCAACCCAGCCCAGTGAGCCTGCAGCCTAGCCCACGTGCTGCCCAGCCTGTGTCCAAGGGCCAGCAGGTCACCAGCCCCTGATGTTCCAAGCTGGGTGGGGACACTTCACCACTGCAGCCTGGTGTGTCACCAGTTTGTTACCCATGACCGCAAGGGCCTCACTGTAGTTGGAGCTTCCTTCCCCTCCAGCAGCAGCACCCATGGCTGCTGCATTTGCTCCTTGGCTTTATCATCCTGTGCCTGGGGAGGAAATGTTGCTCTTCCTTGTCTTCCATGTGCTGGTAACTCACAGAACACCCCCAGGCATGGCAAGCACAGAGTGAGGAAGTGCCAAGTGCTCCTCTCGTGCTCCCTTCAGCACCATTTTTGCACTGTTCCAGCCCAGTTCTCCACACACAGACCACAATAGCCCTGCCATCAGTTCGTACCTCCTGTGTGCTTACTAATGGAGTGGTCCAGAATACAAGAAAAACTGATTTTGCTCTTTCTCTCCTGGACTTCTTGATGCCACCCCTTCCACCCACGCTCAGAATATTTTGCCCTCTCCTAAAACAAGATGGTTGTTTTGAAAAGCAGCATCATGATTTCACAGATGCCAAAGCAGAAGCAAGAGGATGCTGCCACAGTCACCTTGGGTATGGTGGTCCTTCATGGTATAAAGGACAAGACTTCTCCTGCCCCTGTCCCCCAACCAAAAAGGTAAATGTACATATGTAAATAAATATATACATATTTTTTTTAGTCACATAGTTTGAGTTTCAGCTTCCTGGTTGGTCCAGACCCTGCTAGGGATACATTCCTGTCATGGTTTCACCCCAGCCAGCAGCCAAGCCCCACACAGCCACTTGCTCACTCTCTCACCACCAGGACTGGGGAGAGAATTGGAAGGGTAAAAGCTACAAAGCTCATGGGCTGAGATAAAGACAGTTTAATAGGGAAAGCAAAAACCATGCACCCAAGCAAAGAAAAACAAAGAATTGATCCACCACTTCCCATGGGCAGGCAGGTGTTCAGCCACCCCCGGGACACCAGAGCCCCATCACACGTGATGGTGACCTGGGAAGCCAAACTCCATCTCTCCAAACATTCCGTCCTTCCTCCCCAGTTTTATATACTGAGCATGATGTCATATGGTCTGGAATATCCCTTAAGTCAATTGGGGTTACCTGTCCCGGTTGTGTCTCCTCCCAGCCTCTCATGTACCCCCAGCCCCCTCCCCAGCATGGCAATAAAAAAGCAGAAAAAGCCTTGGCTCTGTGTAAGCTCAGCAACAAAAACATATCTCTATTGTCAACCCTGTGTCCAGCACGAATCCCAAACATAGCCCCCACACCAGCCACTAGGAAGACAATTAATTCTACCCCAGCCAAAACCAGCACAGTTCCCTTGTGACTTAGTCCAAGACAATTTAGGCTTCTGCCCTCCTCCAGCCACCTGTGTTCCCCAGGAAGGAGTTTCACTGATTTGACCTTCATGTGGTCCTTGAACCAAGAAGTATGTGAACACTGCAGCCCACAGCAGCTTTTCCTGCTTCTCCCCATCCCAGCGGCTGCAGTGGCATTTCATGGGAAATTTCTGACAGAGGAATACAGGGCCACAAGGGAGGAGGATGTGAAAGCAGGCCCCCAAATTTCCTGAACCTTTGTGGAGCCTTTTCCCCGGTGTTATCAAGTAGGATATTTTCAGAAACATTTAGACCTTAAGCTGGTCAGATGTCCTCTTTAATCACAGTATAACTGCAAATAGAGGGTAAGAAATTATTTAAACAGATGATTCTCTAGGCAGTGAGTAACAAATAACTAAAAGGTTATAAAGATTTTCTAAGAATTAAAGGCATGAAAATTGTGTGTAGTAAAATCATCAGTTTCAGGGAAACAGAGAACCTTGAAATAACCAAATTCAAACTCATACTAGTAACATTGTAATAATTGCATCAATGCTAATGACAAGTAGCCAAAACCATAAATAAATCACACTTCCATATGTATTGTGCTTTTAGGCCCCACAGTTTTGCAGAATGAAGTCTCAATTACTCTGACGTAAGAATACCTGCAAAGCAAGCTGTGGTAACGAAAGCAAAGACCTGGAAAGGAGCAAGATAATAACAGAGCTCCCAGGGCTCTATACACAAGTCTTCTGTGTTTAATGTTAAATTACATGACAACTGAGTGAAGCTGCCTAAAAGTGACAGTGTAGGTGGAGACACCTTTAAGCCTTATATAAGACAACAAGAACTTTTTCCCCCTCCATTGCCACCACTTTGGAGTCAGTACAATCAGATTCACAGCCCGGATTGCTCCGAGCCTCACTCTGTGCCACTGCAGACCCAAACTGTGTCTCACTGTCACTACAGGAGGGCTGTGTCCAGACCAGGGACTAGGATTTGGCTGAATTAGTTCAATTACTTGTATTTGAGGACAGGATGTTGAATCTGGGTGTAACAACAGCAAAGGCTCATTTCAGTTCAGCGGAATGCAATGAAGCAGAAGAGATTCTTTATTGAAGCAGAAGAAAAATCGAGAGCTGTAGAAGACAGCAAAAGACAGTAAAATCCCTTGAAAGAATATTTCAGTAGAAAACAGATACTTCTCCTAGACAGGACTAATTCAGGCTCAATTACTGAATTATATAGATTAACTATAACCTCTAATTAATATTACCTCATTACAGTTGAGAAGCCACAATTTCACGGTGTCAAAGATTTTCTGCATTGACAAGTTCCTTTTTCTCTCTCTGGGCATCTACATATTCACCTGTTTCCCAAGTAGTCTGAGGGCACTGCAGAGGCGCATGGCCCCAATCAGGGCTTGTAATTGAAAGCAATTAATCAATTAAACCAAGCAGTTAAATTGCTCTGTAAGAAGGGAAGCTCCACCTGTGAGATGGAGTGGGATGGGCAGCCCAGGTCTCTGCAGTTCTTGGGAATTTTTTGGTTTTAGATTTGTATACCTGGATTCCCCATCTCTTAAATGTGATACAGTGATACAGAACATTTCTGTTGGAAGGGGCCTATGATGATCATCTGTTTCACACTGGTAATGTAAAAATTTAGGCTGCTTCATGAATTTTAACTTAAAACACAGTGGTGGGTGTCCCAGAGAAGCTGGTGAGAAAGTGAATTGTGAGGACCTTGGTGGTTCAGCTCCTTATGAGCTCTCTCTCAGACCTGAGTGTGTGTAATGTGCCTGTTAAAGCTTATTAGCCAGAAAGCAATGCAAGGAGGAAAAGAGAAAGAAATAGTTGCTTAGGAATAAAAAGAAACAAAAGAAAACATTTTAAAAAATAACTTAAAAAACAGAAGGGGGGGGTAAAGCATACTCAGCAGGAAATATGAAATAGAGGAGAAGTAATTTTTGAACTTTCCTCTTCTGACCCTCCCTTAGGGCTTCCGTTGTCTGCCCACACCTCTGACAGTGGGCACTGAGACACTTGTTTTCTGAAAAAGAGGAAGGAAAAACGCCAGCCGTTGTTCTGGACATTTGTGACAGAGTGAGCAAGGGCAGGGAAGTGCTCCTGATTTACTCCAGCTTGGGGAGTGCAGGTCAGTCCAGCTGGAGAAGGGAGTGGCCGCAGCCTGGAAAGGATGGGAATGCTGCTACGAGCAGCCGTGCTCCTGAGTTCCCTTCTCCTCTGCAGTGGTGAGTCTGGGCACAGGACCCCTGCCCCGGGCAACCTCTGCCCTACACTGGGGTGTCCGCTTATGCTTGGCGGGGATGGCTCTGTTTTGGGAAGAGAAATATGGTAAAAAGGCCAAGTCTGAATGCTGCTGGCTCAAGGTTCAGGTGTTTCAGATCCAGTGGCAGCGAAGTGCAGCAGTGCATGATGCCATGGAAACCCTGCCAATGGACTGAGAGCACAGAGATCCCACACGTGTTGTGGTGGTTATTTTATGCAACGCGAAGGGTCTGATCAACACTTGTGTTCTCAGGAAAGGGGAGGTTTGGAAACCAGCAGAAAAGGGTAAAGAAGTGTCTATGGAAGCTTAGATTCAGCCCTTAGAGTGACAGAAACGTATTGGAACAAAGGCAGTGGTCCTCATATTTACAGGAAAATTTAAAGAGTTTTAAACTTCTTTGCCCCATGGTTTAAGTTGCTCACGTTCGGTCTAGGCTGAGAGAGCACTGTCTTCCAGAAAAACAAATGAGTAGTAGAGGAGAGTTCACAAAAACAGGGCTTTGCTATTCCTTGGAAGCCCAAAGGGTGACATCTGGAGCAGACATTGGCTGAGACCAGGGAGCTGCAACTTGGGCTTAAGACAGACTCCTTCCCTCAAGCCTGGTCCTCTGGTGCTGTGCTGTGCCCAGGGGCAGTGGTGGCAGGTAAGCACCAGACAGAGCAAGAGAGCCAAGCTGCACATGTGGCAGGAGTCAGTGCCCCTGGCCATCAGCTGCCTCCTGTCCCTCTGCCTCATACCATGCTTTTGGTTAACCCACCCCTGAGCAGACCGTGCCTCATCATACACACTGACCGCTTGTGCTTCTCATCGAGTGGATTCTCCTTGCCAATGCTCCCACCAGCCACGGCTTCACCACTTAGGAGCTGTTTCACCCTCGCTGGTTTGTGGCTTAATTTTCTTCCTACTTTCTTTTTGCAGCATTTTTGGATCTGAGTGGCCCCCGTGAGATTAAAGCTGTATGGAAGGGATCTATCACTCTGCCATGTGCCTATGTCCCTGTGGAGGACCTTGTGCAGCAAACCCTCACCTGGTCTGTGGTACATGACCAGAGCTCAGGCACCATCTTTCGGAGAGATGGCTCTGGGGACCATGTGCTCCTGTCTGAGTACAGGGACAGGGTCAGTGTCCCGAAGGACACCCCAGGGAACGTGTCTCTTGTCATCCTGAACCTGGAGGTCTCTGATAGGGGAACCTACACTTGCCAGGTCACCTGGAGAGCCAGCAACAACAGCCTGATAGCAAAGGAGATCGTGACAAAAATGGAGGTTGTTAAAGGTAAACCCAAGAAGGAGGCTGTGTGGGAGGGGAAAGCTTGGCTTGGGAAGGCTTTTGGGAATTGGGTAGAGCAGGCAGGAGGAGTGACCACATACTTCCACGCAAAACCTTTTTGCTGGGGAGTGTCAGGCTCCAACAAGAAGCAGCAAATAGGTCAGGGAGTGAAATTCTGCCCAAGACAAAGCACCCTATAATTTGGGGAGGATCTGTGGTTCCTCATTTATCAGTTTGTCCCTGGGTCTGGCTGTATCCAATGGTTCAGTCTTTTCCAGGAGTATGCACTGGCAGGGAAGTCCCTGGGATACAGTATGGCTGTTCTTTGGCTAAATTTCACAAGCACATGCCTGACCTTCTGTCCGGGCAGAGGTGGTTTGTAGAGGCACAAAGACAGCATCAGTCCAACAGAACAGGACCCCGTGTGTAGTGCCATGGGTGGCACAGCTGATGTAGGCACAGCTGAGCTCAGCCTATGCAGGGAGGTGATGCAAGAACCACTTCATCCTGAGAAGGCACTGACGGCCAGAGCGAGAACTGCCGTG